TTGTGGTCTTCATTAAGCACTGTGATTTTGAATACTTGCACATAAAAATCCATGGGCTGGTTAGTTGAGGTCTTTTAAAGAAGAGCATTTTCACAGATTTATCAGACACGCAAACATGATTGCTCTCTTCCACGTCGACTGTCAGTCACACCGATAGGTCATGTGTGCGGTGGAGGTACTGGCGTTGCCTTATTCCTGGACGTCACGCCAAACAAAAGGTGCGACAACAGCATTTGATGATTTGTCTGTCGGTTAAAAACCTGGTTATAAACAAAATCAGATTTTGACATCACATCTCCTGGTTAGGAGATAGTTAAGACTGATTTTTAGTGCAAGGTGAGAATGAGAGGTCGACAGCTGGGGTTAAAAGGGCTTATTAACTACAGGGAATGCATTGTTGGCATAATACTAGCAATGTTATCAAATGGTCGTGAAACGCTCCCTGTTGACGAGTGAGAAGATAAGTCTTGCAATTGACTTTTAATTTCCTCAAAGATTAACTGCGGACATGGAGCAGATTAGTCTAAACCAAGGTTTATAGGCGCAAATCTATATTCGATGCATGAATATTTGAGTCTAAGTCCATCAACCACAGCGGGATGATCGCGTAATCTTCATTAACTGCCGACAGGCAGCTAGCAGTATATTTTAGGGTTACGAGATACCATATTATCAGCACAAGTACTCGCTAAAATCCCGGAAACAAATGCTTCACCGATATCCTGTCGTTACATAGCACAGCTGCGTTAGTGAATATTACGCTTTTATCTCGCTCTGGCTGATGGACTTCGGCCCAAATATTCATGCATCAAATGTCCGTCTGCGCCTACGGACCTTAGTATGTATTGATCTACTCCAAGATTGCAGTTAATTTCTGAGGAAATTAAAGAGCAACAATTTGACAAACTGGAGCATCTGCCAGAAGACAGAGGGGAGTGATGGGGGACACACTGAAAGGCCGCACAACTCGCGGTTGAGCCATGCAGCGGCAGGATATCGACGAAACGCTTGTCTGCGCTTTTAGCAAGCCCCTGTGCTGATAGTATGGTATCTTGCAAACCTAAAATAAATCTTACTCTCAAAGTTCACTGTCAAGGAAATGTGCTGAATGAAAATTAAAACGACGCCTCACCCATGCTGTATCCCAGCCGCTTAAATTTGGACTAGTTAATGGGCACTCTCACGTATTAAATGTAGATTTGCGCTAAATTCCAGGAGGTCACCTATCTCCGTGTTCTAAAGCTTACCCTAACCATAATCCTAGCTGAACCTTTGCATGACTACCAGGGCTTATATGAATTCCTGTGTAATATCGACCTAAGTCCCGGAAGTATTCTGGAAAAATTCCCTTTTACTGTGAGATGGCAAAGCGAAAATTCCAAGGTAACTCACCTTTGTGTTCATCTATTTGAACTTGCGCGGCACGGGATAATCTCATGATTCAGAAACCCAAGAGAAATATCACAGTGACTACGAAATGGCTACTTGAAGAACGCAGACAGTACTGTTTTCTTATCATATTGGTGATTTTGAGGATTTGGTGGATTATACTGGGGCCGAAAATATGAATACAACTTCACCAGGACAACATCCACAAACGAAAACGAAGCCCCCCAGACGTCTTGCATGCGGCCTTATTCCAACCTGTCAGAGTTGAAGTTCAGTTAATAGATACTCCGATTTTATTTAGACAAGCACGCATGACGACATTTTGATCGGCTTGACTGACGATGTCGACCATTTACTCCACAGGCTGGTGAGAGCAGGGGCGGCGACATGCGTGTGATTTCTTTTATACTGGAAGGGGCTTGCGCAGCATCAGACGCACTCTCTCCTCCCCACCTTTGCCTGACAGAGCTAGGAAGACCGGAAGCGGGAGAAGATGCAGGTGGCTCGCAGGGCGAAAACCAGCAACTAGGGGTATAACCATCCCCTTGATCCATAACGAACACTGACAAGGATTTTATTCATCATGAAAGTGCGAATGGGACGGCCCAGATCCCAGTAGGTGCTGTGTGAGCCTACAAATGGCCCTGCCACCACATCCTCAGTGTTGACCCTTGTTGTGGGTGCGCATTTCCGAACACGCCTGTCGGACTTCGATCTAGCACCCCTTTTAGTCCAGCGCATCTACCCTGTGGCCCGTTTTGGAGGCACATCACAAACATACAATTAGTGACCTTACTCATGAAATGTGTCGACATTTACGGATGACTGTTAACCACTCGCAAACCAACACCATTTCATGAGCACAAAGTCTATGTTAATTAAATACAAGTTTAAAAGATTAAAAACGTAAAAGAAATATTAAAAGCAATGTCGCCTTGTTTAGAAATGTCGAGTTGCTTAGAAAAGCACAATATGCCGAAAACGTCAGAAATGGCTCTACTTTAGTAAACTCCGTTTTTAGATGTAAAGAATGTATTCTTATACTGAAAACTTAGTAAATATCAAAGCAGAATTAAAATAACGTCCAATAATAGTGTTTTAGTGATGGCTGTATCCAAATATCGTATAACAATTGGTGTAATTTCATGTATGAAGGTTTGTCAACTGCGTATATTCGGAGTGTAGATTCCAAAACAGTTTTCCAGGGATTCATGTTATCCTTGCTCGTTTGATTTAAATAAGATGGGGTTCAACAAAGGCAACTGGATTTTGCTTGATTTCACCGATGGGGACGTCGTAGGAACAAACGTTTTTATTAGGTGACATGCCAAGAGGCCGGTCGGTGTTTAATAAATTTAAATAGAAGCTACAGGCTTGATCGTAAACATGCTAGTTCCGTTAAATTAATTTACACCTTTCGTTCGTTTTGGATTATGTTGAGTTTCAGATCGGCCTCGAAATATTTCTGAATACTTCATGATTTTCAGTGTTTTCACACGATCTTCCATAAAGACAGATTATGAATTACCTGTTTGATGAAACCTTTAAAATACAGTTATTTTGGAGTTATTTACCGAATTAGTAAGTGTTCGGGCGCTCCTGTTCACGCTTCGGCCACATGTGAATACTCATTCAAACATCAAACTTCAGTTTCGAGAAAAGTGGCTGTCCACAACGAAAGTCAGCAACTACTATGCCTTCGATCAATAAGAAAACTTTTCGTAATAAGTTACCTCCTCAAGAAATACCTTATTACTGCACTCCGTTAACGGATTTATGTGTAATTTGCATTACTTCACGCTGAGGCCAAGTAAATCTTGACACTTTTGGTCGTTTTTCTCAAGTTCCTAAACGATTTTAATATTTTTTTACCGTACACGTTAGAATATGTCTTCCTCTATACATTGAGACCATTTCCAACATTGTTGCCCGCTTTTAGACATCGTTCTTTGATTATGAATGCACGGCAGAGCTCCCATATAAGTACTGATCTTTTGATGAAACTATTAATGTCTTGCTCGATTTATTTTTGAATAAGATAAACGCATAAACTAAACTAAATGACAAGTGGTGTTTCATATGTTCAAAACAGGAAATGTCCAATCGGTGGTAGTCATCTATGTGATATCATGTAGACTTTTCCAAATGGTAAAACAATTTCAGTTCAATTAAACGAAGTAATCCCTATCTGCGTTATTGCTGGACTTTAGGGCACCAAATCGCACAGATCTCTTAATTTGACATTTCGGAATTTATAAAACCTCTAGTTTTCTTAAAATAACCTTTGTGTTGGCAGTTTGATTACCCCGGTTAACATCGGACATAAAATAAATTTTAAAGTTCAGTTAAATCTGTTTATTAAAATTGTGCGATTAAATTACTATCCTTTCAATAAAAAAGTCGCTCAAATGCGGAACCGGAGTCTAGGATATGTATTAGCATAACAAATTGCACAAATATATTCCAACGTCCATTTCTGCTAAAATTTACTGATATTTTACTTACTATAAGTACGTGAACGAAATTTCTGAACAAGAAAAAAACATTTCATTGAAGGATGTGAGTTAGCAAACAAATTGCGCTACGTTAAAGGCGTCCAGAAATTCTCTCATCAGTTTCCGTTACCAGATTTCATAAGATAGGTCACGTACTGTACACACTGCACAGTAGTAATTATTGACTTTACCTTGTTGTGATTAGAGTAAGGTAAATATAATAGTTTTGGATATGATTTGCCTGCTGTTTGGAATTTAATAAAACCCTGTTGATTTTTAATCCCCTTTAGTACTACACAGGCGGCATCGTAGAAATACTGTTCTTTTTGGATTCTTCGCAATATATCCATTATCTGCTTAATTTTCTCCGGACCATGGGGTTACGAACACTTTCTAGTTCTATGTTGGGTGCCCAGCAAACTAAATTTTAGCATAAAAACTTGAGAAATGACTTTCTACCAACGGCTGATAAGCCAAGATCATTCCGCATTAATGAGAAGCAATAATGTTCGAAATATTCTCAACCGCAGGTTTCTTACCGTTTTCTAATTCCTGCTTGTTATGGTCATGTATATATAGAAGTTGTGGCTTTTAGCGCCTGAACGAGCTACAATTCTTTGTTATTATTTCTCTTAGATGGTCGTCTCATGCCTCTTCTATTCTTCCATATAAAGCTTCTATCTGATCGAACAGAATCGTTATGGCAGAACAACTAAGAAGCAAAGTTTGTGCTCAGCATTAACGCATGGGTATATAGTTGGTATTGACCAATCAGCAACCAGTGACGCAGGCTTGGTTGTGATCTTAAATGGATCTGTATTCCGCTCCAAATCGGTACGCTGGCTGCCTGAATTCTTACCCGAGGGCCACGCTTCATTTAATTTTCTTCTTTACTTGTTTCCGGAGTGCGCAATTACCCTGGTGGCTGCGAGGTTTAACTCGTGACCAATTTCAAAAGTGTGGGGCATCCAATTATGGCAATACGTCATCCCGCACACCACCAGCTTCTGTGTATGTGCGTGTAGGCGATCCGAGTATGAGTTTAGTCTGACCTGTATAATGCATATGTTGAATATATATTACGATTCCCTAGATTAGACCCGACTAGGCTTTTGCATGCGAATACCCATACTGGAAAAGATTGCCTTCCTCCAACATGAACCGGTGTTTTGGCGACCTTACGTTGACGACACGTTCGTCATCGTAAAGAAGGACATGCTGCAACATTTTCACAGCCTGCTCAACGCAGTCTTCCCGGATATAAAATTCACGAGAGAAGAAGAACAGGAGCAGCAGTTGCCCTTCCTGGATGTGCTCGTCAGACGAAACCTTAACGGTGAACTTGAAACGACGGTTTATAGGAAGGCAACGAACACCACACAGCTTGATCAGAAGAAGAAGCGATCGCTGGAACAATGGCTTTATTCGCCTGACGTTTCGGATTCTCTCTTGAATCCATCATCAGAGACAGTTGCAGAAAAGGGTGGTTAGTGTACAGGCAGTCGCAGTATTTATAGGATGCGGTC